AATGAACTAATATGTTTTATTTTAAGCTGCACTTTTGTGAATAAAAGCAGTTAACTTTATCCCCAACCACTGACTTTACTCTGTAATAATCTTTTGACAACTTCTGGCCCTTTATGCTCTGTAATTGGGAAAAGGGTCCTGCACAGAAAGCTGCTGCACAGTTTGAGAGAATAGGAGGATTATTTAATAAGCTATATTTGTGATTTGCCTTCAAGGCGGGTGCTGTCTAAAGGTGCAGGAGACACAGATGCCTGAGAGTGAATTTTCACTGCAATTAGCCATGTGCAGATCTTGTAGTTGTATGCGGCACCAGCTCAGAGGCTCCTGCGTGTAACACCACTTTAATTAACAGAACTGGGAATTCGTATGAGGCTGAACCATCTCAGAAGTTATGTCGTTATTTAGAAGTATGGGAGCAACTGTCAACCTCTACATACTGGGCTCACTGGGTGTAGGGCTGGCTGACATTAAGTATTTAGTCTTATGGACATACTTCAAGGGCATTTTTATGAATGATGCTTAACCTTTTAGTGTTATACACAAAGACATCCTTATTTAACCTTGTTTTAATGTGTAAGGGATGACTGTTTGGTCATTATTATTTTCATGTTGTGTAAGTCATTTGCAGACATTATCGACATCATGACCTGTGGTGGGAACAGGGAACAAGTGGAAAATAACTTAAACAGGTGGAGGAATGCACTTGAAAAACAGGAATGAAAGTCGGCCATAACAAGATAGAGTGTGTGTGTGAATGAGAGGGAACAGTGAGGCTACAAGGAGCAGAGGTCACAAAGGTGCAGGACTTCAATACTTGGGGTCCACTGTCCAAGAAAAATGAGGAGTGTGGTAAAGAGGTGAAAAGAGAGTCCAGACAGGATGGAGTGGATGGAGAAAAGTTCTAGGAGTGATTTGTGACAAAAGGGTGACATCAAAGGTCAAAGGAAAGGTTTAAGACAGTGGTGAGACCAGCTATGTTGTATGAGGTGGGGTTATAGAGTGAGGACAGAGGATGCAGGAAACAGGGTGACATGGAGGAGGATGAGTTGCTGTGGCAACCCCCAAAGAGGGAAGAGCCGAAAGTAAAGGACAAATAATCTCAACCCTAAAAACTAAAACCTGCTTTATCTGATGATCAACATTTTGCATCCATCCATCCAT